GGGTCCTCCGGAGGACCCGTCCTGCCGTTTTGGACACAGCCTTTGTTGACGGAATGGAGGTCCGTCTCTCACTACTCCCCGTGCGGAAACTGTTACTAAAGAAGCTTAGTTTTTTTAGTTCCGCCTTCAGAGGTTAGATTAGAAAACAGGAAGATGAGGAAAGTTTTAGAAGAAGTTGCCAAGGCCAGACTTATCTAACATAATTATTGCTTTTGTGTAGTTCAGAAACAAAACATATCATGACCTGTTCAGTTATTTTTTGATGTGAACTCTTTAAAAGCATAACTGAAAGAATGAATTACTTCAAACTCAAAACATTTTCAATGTGATTCAGACAAAGAAACATTGATGTTTCATCAACTTAAACCATAAAGATTAATTTAGTTAAATACGATTTTTGCACAGAAAATCCATACATAGCTGAAATCATACTGAGGGAGAAAATATATGTGTTCTCTTTTCTCCTGATAAACATTGTCTGATTATCAAAATGCATAATAACTTTCGGTTAAGAGAAAATAAAAAGAAGATTATTCTGTTTATTATCTGATTAAGAAAAAGAGAACTGGCCACATGCAAGAACGTTCGTATTCTTATCCTAAATTTCTCTTACTTTTGTTCGAATGAAGGCTTCGTACGAACATGTCACGTCAGATTGAACAAACTCTTCTGTCTTCAGGAAAAGTGTGTAAATGAGGAGCGTAAACGGATGAATGCGTATCCAGGTGCTCGTGCACGGGGAGAGGTGATTTACATAACTACCACCCCAAAAAACACCATATAAGGATATACGTTTCCTGCCACACATACCAGAAAGTGTCCATTCGTAAGTGACATCGCAAAGTAAAAAAGAAGAATTTTACGAGTTCGGAGATTGAAGTTCGACTCTCAGAGATCCACAAAAAAAGTCATTTTTAGCAGCATCAGCTATGGAATTAAAGGATCTGCTTTAAACCCGAGGAAAGAAATGATGACTGCTGTTAATGTCGAGTCTCTCATAGGACGTACTGTCACAGAAATAAAAATCTAAATCATATTTATCTCTCTCTGTAGTCCTGCTACGGTTCTTCTTTGGTCAAATATTTTAAATTTCAGTGTAAACAACTGTGTTACATAGTTTTCATTTATTCAAAAGAGCAGCCACACACTGCAACACCCCACTCCCCCACCACAAGTGTCAGATGCATTTCTGAAAGTCTGGTCGCAGTCCACCTGGCACTTAACAGCATATACAACATTGCTCTGTTTGTGCCAGGGAACTGGATCTTTGGGGTGAACCAGCCTTTACCATAATGTGTTTTGGGGGTTTGAAAGCCACTGGGACATCATGTTTAGAAAATAAATGTCTCAGTTTCTCCGAAACACCCGCAACATACGGAATAACCACTGGTTTGGGTCTGGGTTTGGGGTTTAACCCAAACCAGAAGAAGTTTGCTTTACCGGAAACTCGACTCTCTCCACGGTAC